ACCACGCCTTATTGTGCATTTTGGCAATCTGCTTCGCGCTAGCCCCGAAACAGAGTTCGATGAGCTTCTAAGTGGTGCTTAAGTTTAGATTTGGGCTTGGGTTTAAGTCAGTCCAAAGTCTAAGCGAAGTTCAGGCGCTGAACTATGGTTTCAACCAATGTATCTCGTACTCAGCGGTCTTCCTGATCGTTTTGACGCTGCATGAGCAATCGTTTTCCAAAAGCTCCGGCAAGAGAATGGCATTTTTGGCAAAATTTATGCAAAATCGGCTCGTAAATTCAAGAATGACGCATATTTTTGATGCAAATTGCAAAAATCCCCATATTAAATTAAAAATGAAAAGTATTTTCGCTATAACTTTAAAACCCGTCGGCCGATATGGCTCAAACGTTCCATATACATGGGAAATTGGCTTCGCTACCTCTGTGCAAATTTTCAGCTCCGTAGGTGCACTCTGGCTCAAATTTTTGGGGGGTCTTTTTTTTGGGACACCCTGTATGCCCCCCGCCGTGAATTATTTCCCGATCAGTGTGTGTATCAGTGTAATCGCAAGTATTTTCATTGTGTTTAGGAATATTTTTTTGCATTTAACCGATAAAGTTATTTAGACAACATCCAAAAATTCAAAAAATTTCTAATTTCGATTCGAAGGCTATATTTTTGCGTATTCTTAGGATTGTAATTTTTTATTTAAATTTTTATAAACTCCAAGGACCGGCGCCATACCTGGTATACGTGTTGCTGCAGTCGCGCACAACAAATAAAGACTGAGTCTGACTATCCACCACGATCGCGCACCCTACCCCCTGTCGTCTCCAGGAGTCTTTATCTTCGTAATTCGTGAATATCAGCCGAGCAGCTCGCACCACAATCTGCAAATACAATTGCCAGCATCTACTTTGAGCCCCCGATTTATTTGAATTGAACAAAGAATCTCTGCTCGCCCCCCTTCCTCATCGTAATTCAAAAGAAACAAACTTTTTGGGATTGTGCCGTCGCGGGCTGGCCATCTTCTTCTTCTTCGTCGTTTCCTTCGATTGTTCTGCCGAAACACGAGGCATATTCTATCCTTTTCGGCATCATATATCGACGATCAATCGCATTTCTGCAAGAATATTATTTGATTAACAGGACCTATATGAAGAGCTAAGGAAGGTATTTGATCTCTATAAATACCTGAATCGTCGATTGACATGCCGTAGAATGAGATAATGGCTGAATGATAGTTGATCGAGTAGTAGAGAGATCTGATCATCCGACAACCCATCTACAGCAAACATTTTATCTACAATAATTGACGATTATATATAGAGAGACAATTGAGGGGAGCGCTAAACTAGTCGCAATTACAAATAGAGGTATTTGACCTGATTCTGGCCTTCCTCTATAACATCTGCCACCATGGGTGGTTAGTAATTTCCTATGTTGTTTATCTTATCATCTTTTAAATTGTCTCTGTGACGCGCCAAGAAGTTTTTTCCACCATCTGATCGGTCGGAAACGATAAGGTTTTGGGACCTTAGCATTCTGAGTTTTGAGCGAAACACAATGCTTTTACAACGATAGAAAGAATCTTTCCCACTGACGTGTTGGGCGAAAAGTCGCGATATTTTTATATCATTTTAGTGAGGATTAGTCGTTTGCACGTTTAGAATAGTAAAACAAAGGTTTCGAAACATTTCCGCTGCGTATATTCGAAAGACTGGAAGTTGGTTTCCCCCTACTAAAAGTCAAGAACCTATGATGAATTGGAAAAATGAGGTTAATATTGCTAATAAATCAAGGCAGTGGTCATCAATCATTCCATGGTTCTTTGGCATTATCGGGGGGGGGGGGGTACCGAATTTTTTCTAAGATCAAACTTTGCCAAATATAAATTTCACCAAAAAATCTAGATTTTTCGACAAAATGGCGGATTTTTGCGGCAGTTGCGATTTTTTGAAGTTTTAAGATAGCTTTTCTAGCTAAAATCTAGCTATCAATTACTAAAAACACTATTAAAACAATTTCTGTAAAGTTACTAGGCATTTTCAGACCACATAAAAAAATTCGGTCCCCCCTGATAATGCCAAAGAACCCGATAAGAAATATAGGTTGACGAAAGAGAACATTTCAACCCAACATTCCCATTCAAAAGTTTATTTCGGGGGTCGACACAGATACACAATACGAATACCAGAGAGATAACCGGTCCACCATCATTTTTCCTAAAAACCCTTATTCCTAAAGGCCATTTTTCCTACGAGCCGCTTTTCCTAAACCCGGATATTCTGTAGCCCTTATTCTAAAAGAGAATTTACAGATCCACTCACAAATTGAAAGATATGCCACTTATTGCTTCGCCTTTTGACGAGAGTATTTAGGGCTCGTGTTCGCCATTTCAAAGTTCTGAACAAAATGTGAACTTTTTTACAGGCTCTTTCGGCTGTAAGTAGAGATGGGCAGTGCAAAAACATATCAAAGAAGCCCTTTTCCGTTGCAAAAGGTTCGATTTGAATTGTGAGTGGTTCTGTAAATTTGGCTTTGGAACAAAGGGCTACCGAATATCCGAGCTTAGAAAAAGCGGCTTTCAGAAAAAATGGCCTTTAGAAACAGAGCTTTTAGAAAAACAAGGCCTTAGCAAGAGAGGTGTCCAAGAGACGACCGGCAATCAGAGACTCGTATGACAGAGAGACACAGGCATAAGGCAGACAATTAAGACGGCACGAAGAACGGTGGGCTGATACATCAAATTAGACAATCAGAGTAGGGAATCGAAATTAGGCGGCAGTATAAAGAGAGGCAGCAAATACAATATCCCTTTTGATGGCCGAGGACACTTGTTCCATCTTTTCGAATAGCGACGGATCCCCCACGATACGCGCCGCGTTTCGCACGTCTTTGCATACCTAAAAAGGGGAAGTGTTATCAATTCTCTCGCGATGACGCTCAATCTTTTCCCTGGATGGCGGAAGAGGAGCAGTTGTAAGTGTGTTGTGCTCTCTCAGCATTCATCGCACAGCCAATCGCCAGGAATGCCAGGAAGGAACGCAAACAAGAATGGCAAAATAAAGCCACTCAACTCGCTAAAAGGTAGCATTTCTTTCAAAAAACATCCGTGGATCAGAGAAATGGCCAATTTTCATGATTTTGCTATCAATCGACAGCTCTCGACGAGGCGAGGCAGATCCCTCCTTTCTATTGATAGTAAAATCACAAAAATTGGACACTTCTCCAGACTTCTAAAGCAAAAATGATGATGCCGTCGGAATAGGCGCAAGAATTCCGAAACCGTGGTTTTTTCGCCAGAAAATCCGCCGAAATGCCAGCCTTTTCGCTAAAAAGAAACGTGTACATTTTCGTCTAGCCTAGAAACGCCTGGTAACTTTACAAGAAGTATTTTATTAGCGTTTCTAGTAAAATATAAACAGATTTCATCGAGAGAAACTATCTAAGACCGAATCTATCTGGAAAACTGGAAATTTGACGTTTTTTGGTCGGAAAATCAATATTCTTCGTTTTTCGATGAAAATTTGAAATTTTTAGGTTTAGGCATAGCGAAAAAAAGAGTCTGAAAACACTCTATCTTTATTAGAGAAAATGGGTCCTGAGAAAAAAATGTAGTCCCCCCGATAATGCCAAAGAAACTTTTATTTTTGTAGATACAAATTCGACGATGCTGAGAAGATTGAGGGTGACGTTGATGAGAAGAATGAAAAGAGATTGGCCGACAAGGAATTGGTACTCGTCGTGAAACAGCGATATGGAAGAGAAGATGGATATCAGAGTCCATGGCAATTCCCAGAAATATCCACGCGACAAGGAGAACCCCTCAGACAGGTCACTTTTCGCTTCTTTCGCATTATCGGGGGGGGGGGGCTAAATTTTTCCCTAAACGTAAAAGTTTTATAATTTTGATTAAAAACACAAAAATCTCGGTTTTTGAGCAAAATTTCGACTTTTTGCACTTTTTCAAAGTTTTTTCTGGTGGAGATACTGATTTATTCCGCTAGAAACATTGTAAAAGTGTGTTGTGTTACGTCATTAGGCATTTCTAGACTAATACAAACAATTTGCCCCCCGATAATGCGAAAGATCCAGAACTTGTTACCGTAATATCAACTTGTTGTTGTTGTTTTTCAGAGTGCGGAACGTTGTGTGGGCGAATTGTTGATGGGTGATGTATCTATTCAAGGAAATGCTCCAATATCTGTCTTTACCCTTCGGTATTATTCCTGATGCAAAATGATAGAAAAGTGATTCTTTTTAGATATCCCAAACCGATCGCCGATGCAAAGAAGAAAAGCGGCTCCAAAGTCTTTTTCTACAATGCCATTTTGGGGGCAAAGACGGCTATCAAATTGAATACAACAGAGGTACCGCGATTATTCTTTCTAGATTTTTCGGTTCTTGTGCATTATCGGGGGGGGGGGCGACTTTTTGTTCAATTTTTTCAATCGATCCAATTTTTCAAATAGCTATTTGATTTCGGAAGGGTTTGCGAAACCGTTTTTTACTATTTCCATGCTTAAAACTATACAAATTTTGGTCGGAAAATACCAAAAAAATCGGCTTTTGACAATTTTTCGCTCAACAAAGTGTTTTTTGAAGGTTTTTAGATAGTTTTTCGCGTTGAAATATAGTTTTGCTGACTAAAAACACTATTAGGATACTTATTATTGAATTACCAGGAATTTCTAGCCTTGTACACCCCCCGATAATGCAAAAGAACCTTGGTTCCTTTTCAGTTTCCGGAATACGCGTGGGTGTCACCGGAAGAATTTGTGAAACGAGTTCCGGGCACCGACTATCGATCAGCCGTCAGAACATCCTTCCTCTAATAAATATCCGCCAATCGATATTTCCTGATTAGTTTGTAGTTGTTGATGTTTTGATTGTTTTGCTCGGCTTTCTCTGTGTCCTTTTTTTGCAATAAATCTGAGTTGCAACTCATACTCCCCTGTAATTATAGAAAAACAATATTTATCAGTGATTTATTTCCCATTTTCAGTCCGGAATCATTTGTCGAAAATTAACAAGTAGGTGGCTGGATCGAGGTCTCTGTCCGGAAATCGAGACTTGTATATGGCGCAGAGGAACACTAAAAGAAGATATTGGAATGTGGTATTGGCGTGATTAGCTTTGTAAAAGCAATTCTAAAGCTGTTCGGTTCGTTTTGAATTAAAAGGCGGTTTCCGAGTCAACCGAACGGCCCCGATACTAGCTTGGTACAGTCTTTCGACCCAGTTTTTTTGACGCCATCTGAAAGCGCGTAGTCGACTTGGTAGGGCTGCATAGTGGAGGGATTAGCCTGAATCTTTAGCCTGCGGCGGTAGTTTCAGTGCCTAGCTGGATTCGTAGCCTGCGACGCAGTTTAGAGCGACTGACTTCAGAATAGCGCCTCCCTACAGGAAAATACACTTCGAAACATGCATTCCGAGCATAAAGCAAAAAAAATACGATAGCCGGGGATCGAACCCCCGATAGCAAGATTGGCAGGCTAACGCTCTAACCACTATACCATGAAACGCTTGGGAACGCGCGCGCAACAGCCCTTGTATCCCCCGAGGTGACTACTGGGAAAGGGGAGCAAAGGCAATGAGAGGCAGCTCCAATGAGGCAGCCAAATGCGCGAGTGCAACTGGCAAGAATGAGGAAATTTGTATTTTCTCGCATTATGCAAATTAGCCCTCAGGGACCCCCAAAAATGAATAAAACCGGCCTTAACTTTGTAATCTTGTATTTTATCGAAATTCTGAGAACGCCATCGGAAAGAGGAGGGTCGATTCCCCCGGGTGACGGAGAATTAGGGCATTTTATCCACGGGAAGGCCCTCAAATCGGGCCTCGAAACTGACATCCACACACACACACAAAGATACACGCCAAAATTATATAAGGTAAGGATTATTTGGTGACGAGCAATTTTTTAAGAAGAAATAACTCGGTGAAGAAATAGCATTTTGCGATGGGAAATCGGGTACTAGACTGTTAGCAGGGGGAAAACTAATGTTGTTAATAGTTTATAATGTATCCCTGTTATAGCGTTTTTAGTAGGTTTTGATTGCTAGAAAGTTTAACAAATTTTAGGTACTTTTTGGTCATTTTCATGCATTTTAGACCAAAAACGGTTCTTTAGGATTTCCGGGGGGGGGGACCAAATTTTTTCCTGGTTTTCCCGGTTGACCTAGTAATCAAATACAAAGTGTTTTCACATTGTTTTTAGTAAATTTTAACTATGTTTAAAGTAGAAAAACCTTTCAAAAAAGTTGGAAAAATGTTTGAAAAAGTCGAAAATTTAGTCATTTTGGGTCTTCCCCGGAAATCCTAAAGAACCCCAAAAACATTTGCCACTTACCTTCAGGGTTTATTATATAAAAATTTTTGAAAAAAAGGTTACATAGCTCTACAAATAGCCGTAAAAACGTGAAAAAATAGCGCCGCAGGCAGCAAAATTTTTGAGAAAATGAAAATCATAAGGGTCCCCCCTTATGAAATTTTCGGGCCCCGGCCGATTTCGGGGCCGGGCCCCCGGGGCCGGTATTACGCTACGTCCCTGCTTACCTTTGCCATAAACTTCAATTCGGAATCTATGCGGCTCTGAAACAACCAACTCGTCAAAGTCAAGCTCTTCTGGCTGAAATGGGGGCAATATTTGAGTCTGAAAATAAGGAGAAGAAAAGGAGGGAGAATAAGCTGCTCATTGTTCTTACACCGAGTGGTTTTTAGGTAATCTTGGAGTTTTGCGATGTGACATAGCGCTCCTTCGATAGAGCTTGGAATTCTGAACAAATCCCATCTTTCAAAAACTGCTGAACGACTCCGCTTTTTGAGAACATCGGCGCTGAAAGGGCCGATTTTGAGCATTTATGGCCCCCGCTTAATAAAATGCAAACTGAAGAAATTTATTCTCAAAGTCCATTGTCGTTCAGCAGTTTTTGAAAGATAGGTTGTGTTCATAATTTAAAGCTCTATCGAATCAGCTATGTCACATAGAAAAATTCCAGGATCACCTAAAAGCGGCTCTTTATTCTTAGGAGATTCTTTCTTCTTCTCAATCCTACCATCCATTTGGCCAATAATTCTAGATCAGCATCCGTATCATCAAGAAATGTCATCATTCCATTATGAAGTGTTCGAAGGTGTCTTTCGTACTTTTTCTAAATACGGTAAGTGTCAAGAGGAGTGTGTTGTAGTCTACCAGAAATAATGGAATATCGGGATATCTGGCATCGTCGAATGGGTTACGGACTATCTGGGGGTGCTGCGGCTGAGCAATCCGCGTTTCATGTAAATATCCCGATTGTTGTGGCCGAGATGGGCAAATTGCCAGCTGAAAATGAATGGACAATCTTCTTTTGAATGCATTCATCTTGCATCTCGTTGTCCAGTCCATCATAGTTGCACGAATTCGCGGGGGGATCAATTCTTTTCTTACGGCCTCGGTTGGCCCAGTAATTACAATCGTGTTTTATATTGTTTTTAATAGGTTTTAACTAGATTGAAAGTAAAAAAACTTTCAAAAAAGTTAGAAAAATGTTTGCAAAAAGTCGAACATTTGGTCATTTTCGGTCGAAAAACAATTTTTCGATCTAAAAGGAAATTTTTAATAGAATTTTGTACAGTTTTTATGCTTAAGAATTGTTAAAAACAATGTAGAAACGCATCCACTATTCATAAAAAAAATTTAGGCTTCGGCGGAAAAAAACTAGTTCCTAAAGGACCCAAAAAAAGGAAATTCCGCCAGTTTGCCAAAACCATTTATAACCCGAAAAATCTCTGGGTTGGCCAGAAACGATTTGCATACTCGAAATGAGGGCAATAAACTATTCTATGCCTCATTGCTTGGCATCGTTCTCTTGTCAATGGAAATTATACTTCTCCGCCCACCGTGGGTGGGCCCCCCCTGGGGGGGACAGAGGGGGGACTGCAAGGGGGGGATGGTGGGGGGGCCGGGGACCCCCCCAAATGACCGTGCCCCCTACCCCCCTGAGGCATGAAGGTATGGCATCTACGAGTTCCATTCGCTATACCGAATTTTCACTATACCGAATTTTCGCTATTCCGAATTTTTGGTATAGGAATTTTCACCATGCCGATTTTTACGAACCGAATTTTCACCATGCCGAATCTTCGCCATACCAATTTTGATAAGCGGTATGTTCCCCATTTTTTTACTGTTTTTTCCAAATATCATGGGTCTAGAAAGTTAGAGTTAGCCTAGAAGTTTCCAAAAAAGCAGGCAGATCGTAGGTCCCGTAGGCGCAGCAGATTTTCTGCTGCACCGCAAAGTCCCAGCCGATCTTAGTTATTAATATTAGTAGAGAATATTAGTAGTAGAGTAGCAAAAATTCGGTATAGTCCTCCCCCCGGGCCCCCCACCATCCCCCCTTGCAGTCCCCCCTCTGTCCCCCCTAGGGGGGGCCCACCCAGGGTGGGCGGAGAAGTATAATGGAAATATAGAGAGAGAAAATAGATAACTTACATCGATAAACGATGTGAAATAGTGGATGGATGGATATTTCTCATAATCCCAAGTCATCTCTATTGGGGCTCTTTCGTAGGGTCCAAAGTCTAAAATGTCAAAGATCAGTTTTGCGTTAGAAAGAATTTTCGTCTTATTCGATTCAATGAATTCTCTCACTTTTGTATTGCCAATTCCTTCCCCATCCTTCACTCCACAATTCTTTGCATTCTTCGCATTCCCATGGAATTTCTGAGCCGTATCGCTGAAAAATGACACATTTCAAGAGGCCTGAAAAGATGCAGGGCTGCTGTTTAGCACAAATTCTTTGCTGCGAAACTCTTTGATTTTCGCCAATCCCAGATTTCCAGTGGCCTGTAACACATGTCAAAAAATTCGATTCTATAAGCGAGAAAAGTAGGCCCGTTTTTTGTGCAGCCATTTCCCCGGCCGCCAGGCCCATTTTGCGGCTGTGTTTTAGCATGGAAGTGAAGAAATAGATTTGCGGGAAACGCTTTTTTTGCTTTGCCAAACTCTTGCATCGAACGATTTACAAGCAAAATAGTAACGAACCAGGATTGAAAAGCCGCTTCGCGATTTTTCAACCCTGGCCCTGTCTATCCCCATAATATTCTTATTTCTGCATTCGTCTCTCGAATCCCGATGAGAAAAAATGAAAAATGAAACTCTCTACCTGGGCCGGTACCATACGGCTTACTAGCCCCTAGTAAACTTTTCACTACCCCGGTAAACGGCCTAGTAAACGAGTTTACCAGGGGTAGTAACAGGGCAAAGAGCTAATCTCTCTAAGGCTAAAAAGAGTCTTTTCAAAAAAGGGCTTTTGGTTTTCGCAAAAAGAGATCAATTCTCGTGGCAACAAAAAGTGCTAAATTCCTTTCAAACTCTGAAAAATGCCACAAAATGGGGAACAACAAAAAGTTGCTGGCTAATTAAAATCTTAATAAACTTGGGACTGTTTTAGATTACAGGTCAGGTCTACAGATTGATTTCACGAAAATGGATCATAATACAGAAATTTATTTATAAGCCGAAACGGCTAAAAACGAGTCTGTCCCTTTTAATAAGGTGCCAGCAACTTTTGGTTGATCCCACATTTTGTGCATTTTTCAGAGTTTGAAAGGAATTTAGCACTTTTTGTTGCGACGAGAATTCGTCTCTTTTTGCGACAACCAAAAGCCCTTTTTTTGAAAAGACTCTTTTTAGCCTTAGAGAGAATTTAGCCCTTTTTGTCTCAATCTTGTTGTTAAGATCATAAAATAAGTCATCGTATTATGATTCGGATGAACCTTTGGACGCAATACTTCAAAAAATTCGCCTGCGGCGCTTTGTAGGTGCACTAGAAACTAGACCTCCCGAACCCCCTAAACCCCCCTTAACCCCCCTCCCAACCCCCTCTGCTCCCTCCCCCTTTCCCCACTATCTCGCGCGAGAGGGGCGAAATAGTGGGGAAAGAGGAGAGACGCAGACGAACACAGAGGGGGGTTGGGAGGGGGGGTTAGGGGGGTTTAGGGGGGGTTCGGGAGGTCTACTAGAAACCATAAGGATGCAAGGGGGCCAATCGGCAAAAACGATGTTCCGGCTGGGGTTCGAACTCGGGGGCCAAGTCTTCCCAGTACAGCGTGCTAACCACTAGGCCAGGGAAGACTCTTGGTCTGCCTTGGGCGCGCTTGACCCGCCCCCTGACTGGGGACTGGGGCCACGAAAGGGGAGGGTGGCGCCCCGTATGGCGAAGGTTTAAAGTTATAATATCTCAAAGGAGAAGCATTCTTTCGATGCAATTTCTTCTTTACTTTATCCGGCAAGGACTAATGCATATTTCAGCAAAATTTCAGCCCAAACGGACATCACTAACCCCTGTTTTGGCCGCAATTTAGCTTTTAAACTTAAAAATTAAATATAAATTTTTTAAAAACCTATTTTGAAAAAACGCTTCTTCCCCACCTTCATTTACATAAAGTGTGTGTGGAAAATTTCATATATGTGGAAAATTTCAGCCAAAACGGACCATGGGAAGGCACTTTTTGAGGACTACATACTCTGTTTCGAGTGGCGCGGCTGCCAGCACACCTTCGGCACGGCTGCCGAATGTCGCGCCGGGCAGCCGTGCCGTGGCACGCCTGCCGGCACGCCGCGCCGGCAACTGGGCCGAAAATGGCTGTGGCACGGCTGCCGGCACACCTTACGCTTATTTTTCGGCATATTAAAACGCATTGCTTATTCTTTTTTTATTGCGTTTAAGTGGTGGTTGAAGCATATCGCCGTCACCGTCGCCTGGTTGAAACGGAAGCCGCAGTAATAACTAAATTAGTTGGTTTCTTTGGTTTTCTATTGTTCATAAATCGGAGCCAGTCTTTTTCTTGGTGAACTTACGATTAAACGTGACGATAGACGTGCCGAGCATCTTGTAGTGTTGGCCGAGTACTAGATTCTATTCAATGATTGCTCAAGAAGTTCAAAACGACACTTTCTTCTTGCAGTCTTTGCAGCTTGTCTAGGATCCCTCAACATTGAAAAACTAATTCTCGCGTGAGAAAAGCGCCACTTCGGGTTCAGCGCCTGAAAAAATGGTAAATTATACCCACCAAACAATCGTTGTTTGTAACATGGGGCAAATATCCATATTTTCAATGTAAATAAGTTACGGGGCAGGATTGCCGATCGAAATGCTTCTATCTAAACTCGATTAGCAATGTACCTGCTAAATATCAGCAATTCAGTCGGTTCTTCGACCATGAAGCATTCTGATAGACTTTTCTTGCCTCATACTTGTGGTCTAAAGGTTTCACCTGAAATCTCGAGCGTAGAACAAACAAGTTGTACCTATTAGTAAGCAAGAAACCGCGTAGCTGATGGCGTAGTACCTATTCCTTCTTGGACATGACATCAATGCGGCAATATAATAAGTCTTGAAGAATTATTATGACAAAAACAATACTTAGCGCGAGGCCGAAATTTTTCTAAGTTATGGCGCGTTGCGGCTCCGTGACAGTGTTCTGCCGGCAGCCGCGCCGAATACCGCGCCGGCAGCCGTGCCGAAGCTGGCCTCCCCCACCCCGTCCGCGCTGCGCCGGCAACCGTGCCGAAAGCTGGCCCGGCAGCCGCGCCGAATTTTAGTTCGCCGGCAACCGTGCCATCGTGGCGGCAGCCGTGCCAGAGGGCGTTACCGCGCCGGCAGCCGCGCCACTCGAAACAGAGTAGGTTTTGCGTACGAACATACAGACATACAAACGCAGACCCCCCCCCTCGAAACGCAAATTAAATCGGCTGTTAAAATTCGAAATTTCACTCTTTTTCAATTTTTAAAAGCTTATAGTATGTAAAAAAGTGTCGCCGGTTCCGATGGTGTATTCAGTTTTGCGATCCGATGCATGGTTCTTTTTTAAATCCGGAAAATGACCCCGAAAGAGTCGTATGGGGGGGGTATCTCAAACCAAAAAGGGTTAGCGGGCTACGCCCGCTAACCCCGATTTATGGCGACTTCTTCAACTGGGCCCTTCTTCAATTTTGTAAATACGGCCAAGGGGAAATGTTGTCAGCGAAAAAGAATGAAATCGTTAGCCTTTTCTTTGGCTGATTTTTTTTGATTTCGACTGTTTCGAGACCAAAGTTGATGAGCCAAACTTTCAACTCTATTGAAAGTTTTTCCACTGGTTTTAGAAGTTTTAGAAATGTTAACTATCATACCATTTGACATTGTCGACAACGACCGACCGGTGGTTTCTGAAAAAAAGATGGCAAATTGGAAAGCAATTCATTTTGTCAGAGTTTAATTAGAATTAAAAACATATAAAGTGGCATACATTGGAACGAATCGTCAAGAAATGGCATTCCCCTCGATAGTTGCTGATCACTTTTCGAAAGTTTTCATCCGTATCACCCTCCATCCGAAACCTCTTCGTCGCGCGCAACGACCGGAAGAAGCCGCTCACCTGAATTCAACCGTCACCTCATTTCTCTTCACCATTATAAAGGCATTTTGGGGTGATTTTGGGATAGTGATAAAATAGAAGAAATACCGGGAAAGACTAGTTTACCCCCCCCCTCCCGCAGCCCAAACTTTTCAGCGCTAAGCCACATTAATGCTTGGGATGGCTCTAATGTTCGCCGTAGTCGAATTAGTATAAAAAAGTTTTCTGCTTACCTCAAATTTACTAGAAAAAATGTTTTATAACAATTTTGTCTGGCTAAGTCGGGGTTTCCTTCAAATTAATTGTTCCTGGTCCAGGGCGAGTTTTCGTATCTCGGCTCTTTTTAGACTTACAGACCCGGCAAGGATACCAAAATGTAACTCTTGCTTTGTAAAATAAGGCTACAATGCATTTGAGTCGAAAAATAGCGGAAAGTTCAAAGCATAGCGGCTTAATCTTTTCAACCCTCAAAATACTGTACAAAAACTTCTAGCAATTATTGCGGCAAGGAAACAGCTTTTTTATCGTAATTCGACGACGGCGAACATGTTGAGATACCCCACTCATTGATAGGACGTCTGAAAAGTTGCGGCGGGGGGGTAAACTAGAGTGTAGCCACTTTCGGGCCTTCGATATGGCCGGTATTGCAATACCTCAAATGCAGCATCTTCTTCCATCCTCGGCCTCTTCCAACCGTAGTACTTTTCCAGAGCCTGTAAATCATACCTTTCATGTTCGTTCTTGGTTTCCTCTAATCTCTCTCTCTCTCTTCTCTCTCTCTCTCTCTCTCTCTCTCTCTCTCTCTCTCTCTCTCTCTCTCTCTCTCTCTCATTACAGCGTGTCCGAGACAATTTGTTCCGGACGTTGGGTTCGAATAGTCTTTGGGACACCATGTATGTGACTGACCGTGGGATTCGGCTCGAATCTAGCATGAATCTTCTTGATAGTACGGCTGAGACGAGCAAGGGTGGCCATAAATCCATTGAAGTCAATCGGGTATCGGCTGAAAAAAACGAGAATTTTAACAGAAGCTACCTGAAGAAAGCATTCGACCAAATTTCCTTGCCTCAAAATATACAAATTATTACGGGGGGGCCCTACGCACAGGGCACTCGTTTCACCGGTAAAGGAAAAAGGCCTGTAGAAGCCCCAAGTATACGATTAAACGATTGTAAATTGATATAAATACTTAAAATAAATAATATAGATATACTGAATTAACAATAGACAGCCAGGCCTTGACAACGCGCCGGGCCGGGCCTGACAAGGAGTCTCCTTTTGGTGTCATCGGCAAAACGATTCGTGACCCAGCTCATTCGATAGAGAATTGAATTCTGAACAAGACTGTGTTGTTCATTTTTGCGGAATAGCTGTCACTGATTTAATAGAATTAAAAAAAACCAAGCGCGAAACCTTAACAACTCGCTCCCCAAGCACCAATGTATGGGCAACGCCGGCAGTTTTTTAATTTTATAAAATCTGGGACAGCCATTCCGCAAAAATGAACAACACAGTCTTGTTCAGAATTTAATTCTCTATCGAATGAGCTGGGTCTCGAATCGTTTTGCCGATGACACCAAAAGGACACTCCTGGTGAGGGGGGGTCGCCCAGCCAGGCCCGGCCCGGCCGAATCCGGAATTTCAGGCCCGACTAAATAAGGCCAGCGCGGACGGTTTAAATTTTTTTGGCCGATGAGGGGGTATTTGGATATAAATAGAGGCAATACTTTTGAAACAGTTTTTAACTAATTCTGCATATAAAAACTTGACAAACTTTCTGAAAACTCTTTACAAATCTATTGTTGCCGGCCAATAGTAACGTCAACTACCGACATTTTTTGTTCGTTGTTTTTCGCGGTTGGCCGTTTTTCGGCCAAGATCGATAAAGCTGATCCTGAAAATACCCTCAACCATGTTGTAAACCCTCCTAAAAGTTCCTGCTAGTCCATTCAGGCCGAAAGCAAAATAATTCCGGCTTATAAAACTCCTAGAGCTTCTACGGGGTGGTGCATAAAAACGCTCCTACTCGAACTCGAACGCTCCTATTGACGGCTGGTTAAACCGATCGCTATTCTTTACCACGCGTCTGATATCGCATTCCGAGAGCTTCATTTTGAGACCCTTCAAAACGAAAGCACAAATTAACGAAAAAACATTGAAAAAATGTGAACGAAGTCGAAAAAAAATGGTTTTTGTTTGCTTCAGAATTCGAAAAATTTTCTCGGAAAATCATTGTACAGCACTGATCCGGGTCTAGCGGGCCCGCCAAGTTTGGGCCGGGCCCGCCCCGGTCCGTTGTCAAGGCCTATAGACAGCTAAACCACAAGATAACGGACCAAAATATCTTTTTTCGATGAAAATACAGCTTTTAACTTGATTCTAAGGTTTTAGCCATTTTTCTGCGATTTCTCGACGGAATTGGAATTAGCATAGTCGAATTAGTCAGACTTGACCGTCGATTTTACAAGCTAATCCGGTTATACGTCGATTCTAGCAATTTTTTTGCCGTACGTAACCTTACCAGTGAAACGAATGCCCCTGTGCGTATGCCCCCCTACCCCCCGTGAATTATTTCCCGATGTGTATCAGTGTAATCGCAAGTATTTTCATTGTGTTTAGGAATATTTTCTTTGCATTTAACCCGTTGACAAACGATGAAGTTATTTAGACAATATCCAAAAATTCAAAAAATTGCTAATTTCGGTTCGAAGGCTATATTTTTGCGTATAATAAACTTTCGACCAATGGTAAAACGGGGTTGCGCACGGCGGGAATCGAACCGGCGAGCCCTGTTTTCCGTACAGGCGCTCTTCCGCTGAGCTACACGCGTCCCGAATCACCATCGCTCGAGACCGAGGATGAGGGAAAGGATGGGCCTTTTTCCCTCTCTTGCCAATCCTTTACAGTATTCTTAGGATTGTAATTTTTTATTTAAATTTTCTGAACTCTAAGGACCGGCGCCATACCTGGTAAACGTGTCGCTGTAGTCGCGCACAACAAATAAAGACTGAGTCTGACTATCCACCACGATCTCGCACCGTACCCCGTGCGGTCTCCAGTAGTCTATATCATCGTAATTCACGAATATCAGCCGAGCAGCTCGCACCACAATCTGCAAATACAATTGCCAGCATCTACTTTGAGCCCCCGATTTATTTGAATTGAACAAAGAATCTCTGCTCGCCCCCCTTCCTCATCGTAATTCAAAAGAAACAAACTTTTTGGGATTGTGCCGTCGCGGGCTGGCCATCTTCTTCTTCTTCGTCGTTTCCTTCAATTGTTCTGCCGAAGCACGAGGCATATTCTATCCTTTTCGGCATCATATATCGACGATCAATGGCTTTTCTGCAAGAATATTATTTGATTAACATGACCTATTTAGAGGGATAAAAGAAGCGATTTGATCTCTAAAAATACCTGAATCGTCGATTCACATGCCGTAGAATGAGATAATGGCTGAATGATAGTTGATCGAGTAGTAGAGAGATCTGATCATCCGACAACCCATCTACAGCAAACATTTTATCTAGAATAATTAACGATTATATATAGAGAGACAATTCAGGGGAACGTTAAAGTAGTCGCAATTACAAATAGAGGTATTTGACCTGATTCTGGCCTTCCTCTATAACATCTGCCACCATGGGTGGTTAGTAATTTCCTATGTTGTTTATCTTATCATCTTTTAAATTGTCTCTGTGACGCGCCAAGAAGTTTTTTCCACCATCTGATCGGTCGGAAACGATAAGGTTTTGGGACCTTAGCATTCTGAGTTTTGAGCGAAACACAAAGCTTTTACAACCATAGAAAGAATCTGTCCCACTGACGTGTTGGGCGAAAAGTCGCGATATTTTTATATCATTTTAGTGAGGATTAGTCGTTTGCACGTTTAGAATAGTAAAACAAAGGTTTCGAAACATTTCCGCTGCGTATATTCGAAAGACTGGAAGTTGGTTTCCCCCTACTAAAAGTCAAGAACCTATGATGAATTTGAAAAATGAGGTTAATATTGCTAATAAATCAAGGCAGTGGTCATCAATCATTCCATGGTTCTTTGGCATTATCGGGGGGTACCGAATTTTTTCTAAGATCAAACTTTGCCAAATATAAATCTCACCAAAAAATCTAGATTTTTCGACAAAATGGCGGATTTTTGCGGCAGTTGCGATTTTTTGAAGTTTTAAGATAGCTTTTCTAGCTAAAATCTAGCTATCAATTACTAAAAACACTATTAAAACAATTTCTGTAAAGTTACTAGGCATTTTCAGACCACATAAAAAAATTCGGTCCCCCCTGATAATGCCAAAGAACCCGATAAAAATATAGGTTGACGAAAGAGAACATTTCAACCCAACATTCCCATTCAAAAGTTTATTACGGGGGTCGACACAGATACACAATACGAATACCAGAGAGATAACCGGTCCACCATCATTTTTCCTAAAAACCCTTATTCCTAAAGGCCATTTTTCCTACGAGCCGCTTTTCCTAAACCCGGATATTCTGTAGCCCTTATTCTAAAAGAGAATTTACAGATCCACTCACAAATTGAAAGATATGACGATTACCAGCCGCTGCAAGCGGCTGGACTTCGGGCTACCCCCTGGGCGCTCGCTCCCCCTCGCCGAAACGCGCGCGACCTGGCTCACCTTGTCCAAAATCACCCCAACCTCCCTCCTCACCCCTTTTACTAAGGAAAAAACTTTCAAAGTTAATTTTAATAATTTAAACAAAAACTTTTTCGTAATTTTTTTATCAGTTTGGGGGTTTCTGACCACGCTCTATCCGAATCCGAAGAGAGCTAAGCTTTAGCTCTTTTCCCCTTCGAGTTGAATTCGGGACCGGACAGACAGACGGAGACCACAGCAAAATTATTATAGTTGATTGCTTCGCCTTTTGACGAGAGTATTTAGGGCTCGTGTTCGCCATTTCAAAGTTCTGAACAAAATGTGAACCTTTTTTACAGGCTCTTTCGGCTGTAAGTAGAGATGGGCAGTGCAAAAACATATCAAAGAAGCCCTTTTCCGTTGCAAAAGGTTCGATTTGAATTGTGCGTGGTTCTGTAAATTTGGCTTTGGAACAAAGGGCTACCGAATATCCGGGCCCAGACAAAGCGGCTTTCAGAAAAAATGGCCTTTAGAAACAGAGCTTTTAGAAAAACAAGGCCTTAGCAAGAGAGGTGTCCAAGAGACGACCGGCAATCAGAGACTCGTATGACAGAGAGACACAGGCATAAGACAGACAATTAAAGGGATACCCAACCTTTTCGGGGCTCAAAAAGCAAAAACCATGACGCGGGCGGGGGTCGAACCCGGGACCCCCGCTTTCAAGACCTGGATGCTATCCAATAGGCCATAGTGGCAAGCCATTGGTCGAGATGGGGACGCCACAAGGGGGAGAGGAGGCCGAATTCTGTGCGGCACTAGCATCCATTACCGCACAAAATTCGCGCGTCATTTGTACTCCCCGGAATACATAACTATATATTTGCCGCCAAAACATTGGGTATCCCTTTAAGACGGCACGAAGAACGGTGGGCTGATACATCAAATTAGACAATGAGAGTATGGAATCGAAATTAGGCGGCAGTATAAAGAGAGGCAGCAAATACAATATCCCTTTTGATGGCCGAGGACACTTGTTCCATCTTTTCGAATAACGCCGGATCCCCCACGATACGCGCCGCGTTTCGCACGTCTTTGCATACCTAAAAAGGGGAAGTGTTATCAATTCTCTCGCGATGACGCTCAATCTTTTCCCTGGATGGCGGAAGAGGAGCAGTTGTAAGTGTGTTGTGCTCTCTCAGCATTCATCGCACAGCCAATCGCCAGGAATGCCAGGAAGGAACGCAAACAAGAATGGCAAAATAAAGCCACTCAACTCGCTAAAAGGTAGCATTTCTTTCAAAAAACATCCGTGGATCAGAGAAATGGCCAATTTTGAAGATTTTGATATCAAACGACAGCACTCGACAAGGCGAGGCAGAAATCTCCTTTCTATTGATATTAAAATCACAAAAATTGGACACTTCTCCAGACTTCTAAAGCAAAAATGATGATGCCGTCGGAATAGACGCAAGAATTCCGAAACCGTGGTTTTTACGCCTGAAAATCCGCCGAAATGCCAGCCTTTTCGCTAAAAAGAAACGTGTACATTTTCGTCTAGTCTAGAAACGCCTGGTAACTTTACAAGAAGTATTTTATTAGCGTTTCTAGTAAAATATAAACAGATTTCATCGAGAGAAACTATCTAAGACCGAATCTATCTGGAAAACTGGAAATTTGACGTTTTTGGTGGGAAAATCAATATTCTTCGTTTTTCACAGAAAATTTTAAATTTTTAGGTTTAGGAATAGCAAAAATAAAAGGGTGTGAAAACACTCTATCTTTATTAGAGAAAATGGGTCCTGAGAAAAAAATGTAGTCCCCCCCCCCGATAATGCCAAAGAAACTTTTATTTTTGTAGATACAAATTCGACGATGCTGAGAAGATTGAGGGTGACGTTGATGAGAAGAATGAAAAGAGATTGGCCGACAAGGAATTGGTACTCGTCGTGAAACAGCGATATGGAAGAGAAGATGGATATCAGAGTCCATGGCAATTCCCAGAAATATCCACGCGACAAGGAGAACCCCTCAGACAGGTCACTTTTCGCTTCTTTCGCATTATCGGGGGGGGGGGGGCTAAATTTTTCCCTAAACGTAATATCTTTATAATTTTTATTAAAAACACGAAAATCTCGGTTTTTGAGCAAAATTTCGACTTTTTGAACTTTTTCAAAGTTTTTTCTGGTGGAAATACTGATTTATTCCGCTAAAAACATTATGAAAGTGTGTTGTGTTACGTTATTAGCCATTTCTGGACTAATACAAACAATTTGCCCCCCCCCCCCCCCGATAATGCGAAAGATCCAGCACTTGTTACCGTAATATCAACTTGTTGTTGTTGTTTTTCAGAGTGCGGAACGTTGTGTGGGCGAATTGTTGATGGGTGATGTATCTATTCAAGGAAATGCTCCAATATCTGTCTTTACCCTTCGGTATTATTCCTGATGCAAAATGATAGAAAAGTGATTCTTTTTAGATATCCCAAACCGATGGCCGATGCAAAGAAGAAAAGCGGCTCCAAAGTCTTTTTCTACAATGCCATTTTGGGGGCAAAGACGGCTATCAAATTGAATACAACAGAGGTACCAATAATTATTCTTTCTAGATTTTTCGGTTCTTTTGCATTATCGGATTTTTTGAATGGATCCAATTTTTCAAATAGCTATTTGATTTCGGAAGGGTTTGCGAAACCATTTTTTACTATTTCCATGCTGAAAACTTTACAAATTTTGGTCGAAACATACCAAAAATCGGCTTTTTACTATTTTTCGCTCAACAAAATGTTTTTTTTTTTGGAAAGCTTGTGGATAGTTTTTCGCGTTGAAATATAGTTTTGCTGACTAAAAACACTATTAAAATACTAATTATTGAATTAGCAGGCATTTCTAGCCGTGTACAACCCCCCCGATAATTCAAAAGAACCTTGGTTCCTTTTCAGTTTCCGGAATACGCGTGGGTGTCAGCGGAAGAATTTGTGAAACGAGTTCCGGGCACCGACTATCGATCAGCCGTCAGAACATCCTTCCTCCAATAAATATCCGCCAATCGATATTTCGTGATTAGTTTGTAGTTGTTGATGTTTTGATTGTTTTGCTCGTCTTTCTCTGTGTCCTTTTTTGCAATAAATCTGAGTTACCCCCTGTAATTAGAGAAAAACAATATTTATCAGTGATTTATTTCCCATTTTCAGTCCGGATTCATTTGTCGAAAATTAACAAGTAGGTGGCTGGATAGAGGTGCCTGTCCGGAAATCGAGACTTGTATATGGCGCAGAGGAACACTAAAAGAAGATATTGGAATGTGGTATTGGCGTGATTAGCTTTGTAAAAACAATTCTAAAGCTGTTCGGTTCGTTTTGAATTAAAAGGCGGTTGCCGAGTCAACCGAACGGCCCCGATACTACAGGGTGCGGAGAAAGTTTTGGGTGGCAGAATTGGTTATGTTTTCTCCAATTGCGTGCTCCAGTCTGGATTTTTTTTAATGGGAGTCTAAAAAATGGCAACTTGAGAAACACTAGGCACCAACAGATCAACAAAATTTTTGAAATTTTTGGGAGTAAATGCACGGGACGCGTAACGCTAAAATCACCGTCGGCACGCAGTGTTTTTGCTGCTCTTACCGTATGCCCTGTGCACCATTCTTGATCAAAATTCACGAGATTTGGTCAAGATATTGCCAATCCTATCCGCCATCACCCCATAAAATTACAAAGT